GGAATGGTTTTATTCTGTTTTGCTTGATTTTATTATGTGTGATTGTAAAAATAGCTATTTTGAAGAAAACAAGACATTATGGCAGCCTTGCTGATTTAATATCATCTTGCTTTGAAGTCCTTACCACGCTTTTGTTCTTTCGTTTCCATTGGTTTTATCATGTTGTGTCTTACTGGATTTTAATATGTGTGATAGTATAAACAAATTTTTTATGGAAAATGAGGTATTATGGTAGCCATTGTTCATTTTCTGTTCTTTGGTTTTGAATACCTTGTAATACTTTCATTCTCCTGAATGGTTTTATACAATTTTGTTATGTTTGATACTATTGTATATGAAAGTATGCTCAACTATTTCAAAGAAAGAGACATTATAGTAGCTACTGTTACTATCTGGTTGTCTTGTTGTGAAGTGCTGTGTTGCTTGCATTGTTCTGTTCTGATTTGCTTTATTCTGTCCTCTTTTGTTTTATTCTCTTTAAAATAAAAAGTAAGGAGGAGTTGTGTTAATTAAAGTTGTGCGATTGTGCTATAAAAGAAAAAAGTTTCTCCTTGTGCTATTCATTGGTTGTATTTCTGGTATGTGACTTTTTAGTTGGTATCCTCTGTCCACTAGTTTTTTTGAAGGGCTTTGGTAATTTTTATTGGTTGATACAACTACAGTATTTGCTGATTGTTCCTTAGATTCTGCTAGGTGCTCTTTACACAGTCTTTTTCTTATCACTTCTCACCAGCATTGCCGCATTGCCTGAATTTTAGTGATGAATAATCAGAGTCTCAGGGAACTTAAGCCAATGTCAAGGTCACATGGAGAATAAGTAGATGAGCTGGGTTTGGACTTTTACAATGCGGGTCCTATGCTAATTCTGCTCCTTCATGTATTTCAGCACTTGATAAAATCAAGATTTCAACACTGGACAAGATTTTCTCTTTATATTTTGTCTGCCTTTAAAAACCATCAATTGTGGTTTCAGCTTTGCAAACATAGAAGTTAAATGTTGGAGGTGTGACTGGCCCAAAAAACAATGAAAATAGATCGAATTTTATAAATAGTCAAACATAGATACAATGAGAGCAGTTTTCAGTAAGATAGCGCTTGTCACTTAGCAGAAGTGGAGCAAAAAGGAAACAGCATATGGGGTGGGCTTTAGTTGGAGACACTGACCTTCCCATACCCTGGTGGCACCTATAAACTTTCTAACGGCCAGTTCATCAGAATGCTTGCCACACACCTTTTGAGCTACTTACTGCAATGCTAAAATTTCATTTAAGGAAGTAACCAACTACAGATAAAAGTTTACAGGTAAGTGCTGTTACTTGGTGCCATATTTATAATAGCAAATACCTGGAAGAAAAACTAAATCCCATCAATAAAAGATTGTCTAAATGAATCAGAGTGTGTCTGTGTAATGAAATACACCTCTCACATATGGTAGTAGGTAGAGCGGAGATACATGCAGCATTTTAACTGCTCATTAAAATGAAGCTGAAGTGTTATTCTAAGTGATGAGAGACGGCCACAATGCGAAATGAAAAATGTAAAATACAGCATAAAACTCTGGCATTATCCTGATTTTATAAAAACATGTATGCAGGAGAAAAAGATTGTAAAGATATACGCTAAAAAACTGGCAATATTTTTCCTTAGAAATTTGTTCTTCATATTTTTAACTGATTTCTGTGGCAGTATCACATTTATAATTTTAAAAATGAAGTTCTTTCCCTCTATTTTTGTGTTTTCTTTTATCACTACTAAGTCTATAGTTTTCCCTTGCACTTGACACGTAAAACAGATTTGCATTAGCAGAAGAGCTGAGGTATCTTCCAGAGAGAACAACAGGCCTTTAACAGTCCTTGTCATCTGCCCTGGCAAGTCTTACCTTACCAAGCTATTTTTCCTTTACAAAAACCTTTGCAAACAGTAACCCTCCTCATATTGCTATCATTTTAGATCCAGGGGTTTTAATCCCATTACTTCTAATTCACTCAAAACAAAATAATCTCTGGAACCCTTGCTACTCAAAGGGTGGTCTCCATTTCAGCACCTAGCAGCTGATTAAAGAGAAGTGCAGGGTGGTTGCAGGCTCACCCCAGTCCCACGGAGTCAGCATCTGCATTTTAAAAAGACTGCAGGCTATTCCTAGGCACAGTGAAATAAGAGAAGCTGGCCTAAGTGCAGGAACCCCCACTCCATTTCTCCTGGGAACTGAAAAAGTAGGAAACATCACCAGCACTAATGCTCCTGTGATGAGCCTAAGAACCTAGGATGAGAGGTAGCTTAATGACAGAGCAAGGAGAAGCCCTAGCGTCAAACACAAGAACCAGCTATTCTCCAAGATGCCAGCTGCAGAATCACATTTGAGTAATTAACAAAATGAATCCAGAACCAGGTCACAAGAAATTGCCCCAGAATCAGAAGTCAGCTTAATGTCCTTTTGGTCTGGCTGGTCCTAGGAAGCCACACACTTACCTTTAGGTAAGTAGTTCAAAAGTAAATAAATGAAAGACAAGTTTGCATATTAGAATCAGTTCTTGAGCCACCTAGGAGCCCATTTTACTTGGCTTCTCATTATCTGGCGAAGTCTTTGGGAATTCCCATGGTCCTCCTGGGGCCTAAGGTGGACTGATATGGGATGGTGTGCATCCTCTGGGCCTCCTTCTCCTCATTTCCTCCCCCGCTGCTCCTGGGACTCTGCCCCAGGGTTACTCCAGCTTAATCCAGCAGGCCTGAGTCAGCTTCTCTTGTGAGGTCCTAGGGTCCCTGGGGTGGGGGCCAGTCCTGCCTGGGGCACTTCTGTCCCAAGCAGCCCCACATGAGCAAGGCCAAGAAGCTGGCCAGGGTGCCTTTGGTTATCTGGGGACAGCACACACAGGCCTGCAGTCAGGGTTGCTGCACCACTAGAGGTGACTCAAAATCAGGTCAGGATCCCTATGACCTTAAGGCATTATATCATCCTTCCCAGAGTCCCCTTTCCTCACCCAGTTACCTCCTTAACCCAGGACTCAGATCAAATGTCACCTCCAACCACCTCTGTCTTAGTAATGCTGCCCTCCTTGCTCAGGCCTCATTACTTAGTAGCCTGGACAGCTGGTCCTGTTGTAAGCACTTTACATATACTCATTTAAACAGCATGACAGTCCTGGGAATAAGCATTATTATCTCCATTATCCAGAGGAGGAAACAGAGCGGCACAGAGAGGTTGCCTAACTCTCCCAAGATCACAAAACAGATAAGTAACAGAGCTTGGATTTGAACATAGGCAATCTGGCTTCAGAGTCATGTGGAATGTGTCACTCCTGCATCACACTTCTGGCATTCTATATTCATATTCAGTTCTGTTTGCTAAGCACGGGTCTCCTTCATGGAAGTGTAAGTATCATTTGTCTTCCTTATTCACACTGCAGCCTGGATACCTAGAAAAGTGCCTAGCGTATAGCATCAAATCATGCTGAGTAACATAGACTACTAGTAAGCTCTCTCTTCAGGGCTACTTCATCACAAAGTTATAGAATTATTATTTCACAAACATTATCATAAATTGAGACCAAGGAGAGAAGTGCAAATTGAGACCTGAGGGAGCCACTGGGTAAATGGCCATGCTGACCCCCAGGCTCCCTTCCACCACCTTGCACTAGCACAGTTCAGGCCTAGCAAGAGGATGCGCTGTGAACCCTGGGGGTTGCTTGGGAAGCACTGAGATCCATAAATTCTTCAATGGCTTTGGGCCCCTGTATGGAGCCTTCACTGTAAGAAGCATTTAGTCAGATGTTCAAGGCATGAAGATGAGTACCAGAACACAAAGAAAAAATGAGACCCAGTGCTGTGGGAACACAAAGGCAGGGCAAAGAATTCTGCTTGAAGTGGGAGCTGGCTATCAAAGATACACAAACACCTACCGCTGAATGGCCTTGAATGGATGAGGCCTTGACTGGCTGAGATTTTGCCAGGCAACAAAATGTTTGGAGGAGTTAAACACACTTCCTTGGAACAGCTAACATTTATATAAATCATCTCATCTTGTTGTTAGTTTGAACGAAAACCTCATTCAAGTTTTGAATATCAGCTTCAGGTCGTATCTTCAAATATTGAATGCAACTGCACAACCATTTTAAGGTAATTTATTTAAGACTCCTAGGAAGATGGTGGAGTGGTGGGCAGCGGAGAAAGAGGTCTCTGAGAGTTGTTGTCCAGACACTGGAATACAGCAACATGAGGAGAGAAGGAGGGGAGTGGGTTCCCTGGGCCCAAGAAGGATCTGGAGTGAGACTTGAAGCCCATGGAGAGAGGTAAGAGCATTATTTAGATGACTCAGTGTCTCCACACTGAATTTTAATTTAGTCTAAAAAGTTCTGATAGTTCAGCCTATAGAAGCAAAGTGTGATTGATTTGAATTTCCAATCCTAGATATAAAGATAATCCAAAAGAACTTCACTTGAGAGAAGGAAAATACGAAAGTAGTTCCAAAGGAAATAACTACTTTGTTTAGTGTGCTATTCTTGATTTAGAAGATGTAGTGTAAAACTATTAAGAAAAAATTTTCCAGTCACAATCCATCAAAGTTTTGCTCTTATCCAGAAGAAATAGCTCTTCAGTGGTTTATTAGTTTAAACTGTATTGTTATATCCTAAACTAATAAGATATTTCAAAATCCAACATTTGAAATAATTTCCAATTGTTAAAAACTGGTTCCATTGTAAATAATATGATTCATGGAACTTTGGAAAGTTTTGTGTTGATGAAATAGTAAAATAGAATTCATGGCCGGCTGTAGTGGAGCATGCCTGTAATTCTAGCACTTGGGAGGCTGAGGCAGGAGGTTTGCTGTGAGTTTGAAGCCAGCCTGCACTACACAGTGAGTTCAAGGCCAGCCTGAACTACATAGTGATCCCATCTCAAAAAAAGAAAAAAAAAGAATTCATCAAATCTACGCATTAGAAGTCTACATGTGCACAAACACTGCCTTTCCTGGCACAAAATTAGGCTTTGGGTTTCCGTATTACCTCATTTGAGGATGAAGACAGTGTAGATGCCAAGTCATCTGGGATGGCTGAAGAATTCACAGGAACAAAGAGAATTGAAGTATATTTGCTTTCATCAATTTTCTCTTTCACGTCTTCAAGTAGCATCTCCAATTTGAAGATTTCACCTTCCACTTCTCTGGGTAAACATAAACAAAAAGGTGTCTTCTGGACTATGTAGTCAGTGTGGTAACTATGACAACAGTTCCTGGAGATAGTGGTGATCTATATTATTAATGCAGCTTGGCCTCAGAGGGCAAGCGTGATGACACCTGGCTGGTGTTCAGGTTATAGTTTCACTCCTGGATCCTGGGCTCTAGTGCCCATTTGGTGTTCAGGAGCTGTGTATACTTTGGTGAATCACTTGTCTTTCTGGGTCTTCAACTATGCCCTGGGATAACAATACCTCACTTATCGGTATCCAATGATGTTGTGGTCCCTTACAGTTCTAAAAGCTGTAATTCCGTGGAAATAATTGTCGCACAAATTTTGAAAGAGGGCGAATTTAAAATATGTGAATAATTGATAAGCTTATGTATATATGTACATGTGTATAGTATATGAACATTCTTTATCCAACACTCGTCTAAGTAACTGTCAGTTAAATAGGAAATAAAATGAAAATTAGAGGTAATTTAATACTGGATAGTAAGTAGGAACTTTTGAAAACCAACATAATGCAGTTAAACCAGTACTTGGGAAAATTTCTCTGTTTCTCTCTCTTTCTCTGCTTCCCTTCTCCTCTCTCTTTTTAAAAAGAGACAGCGTTTTATTATGCTGATAAAACTGCCTTGAACTCCTGGGCTCAAATGATCTAACGTTTCAATTTCCTAGTAGGTGGGACTAGAAGCTTGAGCCACTGCTTTCAGCTTAACTGAGGCTTTGCTTTTTGGTGGTGGAGGTAAAGTATAGGACCTTGTGCAAGGTAAGCATGTGCTCTACCACTGAGAAACAGTCCTGGTCCTACAATTTCATTTTGTTTTGTTTTTAAGGCGCTAATGCTAAGTGTAGTGGTGCACACCTGTAATCCCAGCACTCAGGAGGCTGAGGCAGGAGGATCACTGCAAGACCAAGGTCAACATGAGTTACAAAGTGAGTTCAAGGTCAGCCTGAACTGTATAGCAAAACCTTGTCTCAAAAAACAAATGCTACTCAAAAAGTTCAATAAACTAAATATTTATAACAAGAAGGCAGAATGAAGAGCACTATATAAAATAAATCTAGAAAAATAGAGATATTGATACAAGTACAATAAATGAAATTTAAAAGAATTTGATCGATAAAATGAACTATTTTTTTCAAAATACCTGTCAAAGAAATTTGGACCAAGAAATATAAAGCATATTAAGAATGAGAAAAGAAAAATAACAAGAAAAGCAATTTAAATCGGAAGGGACTGAACAACTTCATATAATACTTTTAAATCCAGGAAAAATGGGCAGGTTTCTAGGAAAATGTGACTATTAAAATTTGTTCAAAAAGTTAAGAAATAAAAGACCAGAAGAAAAAGACCAGGGAAAAGTAAAGATAATCAAAAATCCACCAGTAAGATGGCACAAGTTCAGGTGGGATTACAGGTGAATTCTACTAAGACTAAGTGACAGACATTGCCCATAATTCATCACTTCTAGGACATGAAAAAAAAAAATTCCCGACCCACTCTGTACTTCAACATTAAGATTTTATTAACATTTTACACTACGCTAACAGGTCACAGTAGAAAAACTAATATATTTCTAAATCTCATTTGATTTAACATTTTCCTAAATTAAACAGTAGCAACCACTCCAATTCTCAAAAGCTAGAAATGAAAGGAAATGTCCTCACTGAAGCTGATCTGCTTGAACCCGCAGTGACCATCATGCCTTAGAGAATTCCTGTTACTCTTAGGAACATGAGAAGAATTCTCTCTTTCACTAGTCTTATTTGCATGGTATTGTTCTGGCAAACCTAACAAATGAAATAAAGCAATAAATATATATACATATACATAAATTATAGGGAAGAAAAGAAAGTATAAATATTCAGGGAGGAAACTTCTCATCATTATTTTCAGATGTAATGATGGTCATTCCTAAAAAATAAGATAATGAAGTTAAAATCAACAAAACACTAAGAATAAAATTGCCTAAGTAGCCCACAGAGGTCAAATATACTATTTTACATTTCCTAGAGAAATCATCTATATCAATTAGAGAAAACATCTATTGACAATACTCAGAAAAACTGCAAAGTAATTAGGAATAACAAATATACAAAATCTACATGAAGAAAATATGCTGCTGAATGGGAACAGTTACTGCAAAGATCTTAATTCTTTCCAAACTAATCCATAAGCTCAATGCAATTCTAAATAAAAATGTTCATGAAATATTGTTAAGGAAACTTGGTTTGACTATGAAGTTTATGAGTGAGAAGAACATTGCAACAGTAGTAAAAGAAACTTTTAAAAAGAATAAGCATTTCAAAATAGAGACTGCAGCGATTTAAAAGCATGTGGATAATGTAGAAATAGAAACAGGTCAGTGAGGGAACAGGCCCAGTGCCACCTGCACACCGAGGTTCTGTGTGTGACGGAAAGTTCCTTTCCAGCCAGTGGGCAAGGGCCGTAAGTGCCAAGACAAAGGGAAACTCAGATGATTGGAAATACTGGAAAACACATTTTAATCTAGCAGGCTGATGAGAGTGAAGCAAGGAACAAGGAGAGACTAAGAATTTCAGAAATGAAACATGAGGGCCAGGGATTCAGCTCAGTAGCACAAGTGGCTGCCTGGCAAGCAGGAGGTCATGAGCTGGATCTCTGATACCAAAAACAAAACAAAGGTGAAATGACAGAACAAGGCCTCCAGGTAGACAACCGAGAAGAGCTCAAGGTCATGGCTCCGAGGGGAAGTAAATGCAGAAAAAGGAGAATACTTGGAGATGGAGAAGACGTTTTTCAGAGAATTCTTGATTTTCTCTAGGTAACAGAAAACAAGATTGCACACCAAAAATATCAGAGAGAAGAGACTAAAATGACTATTGGACTACATTCGGGTTAGCAAGATACATACACAAACAAACATTTTTACATATTGTCCATGTATGCATGTGTGTGTGTGTGTATGTGTGTAAGAGTGTGTGTGTGTGTGTGTGTGTGTGTGTGTGTGTGTGTGTGTGTGAGTGTTGCTAGAGGTTGAACCCAGGGCCTCAGGCAGGTTAGGCAAGGACTCTGCCGCAGAGCTACACCTTCATATTACCTTTTAAACATTATAATAAGAAAGTTTTAATAAGAGCACAGCAACTGGGAAAACAAGTGATTATTCAATAAATTTGCAGAATTCTTGTCCCTACAACGCTATCCACTTTAGCCTGAACTAAACATTTAGAAGATTCTTGGCACTTCAGGGCCCAAGGAATATGTGGGATTCTGCCTATTGCCATGTTGGCGCATGGGGAAATGAGACCAGTCTTGAGCCAAAGTGCCTTTGCTTGTCCTGAGGTAGCTTTAAGTGAGTTTGGGTCCCTCCCTTTCCTCAGTGTTGAAAGCTTCTCCCGTATATGGGGTATAATTGCAGTTAAAACTCTTTTGATTTATACTCATGCCAAGCAGTGTGGTTGTAACTAGGATATAAATAAAGTGTTATATAACTTTGGTTTCAATGTGCATAGAAATGATGGTCCAAGCAAGAGATTCTTTGGAAACTATATAATACTTATTTTATTGATTATAAAACAAGAAGGCAGAAGAGTGTGGAGATCTCTTTTTCCCATGGTATGGGGGGATAAGCTTTTGGGAAAAATCAGTATTAAAACCTCGTCCCTGATGTCTTATTACTCTGTTTTGGCCTAAAGGTACACAGAGGTTCTATTCATTCTGGAAAAGTAAAATTGTACCTCAGGAAAAACATCTCAGGATGCTAGCTGTGAAACATAAATCATTGAAATATTTTGGCATCAAGAATGATTCATGCTAAAATGCTATGTGTAGAAAGAACAAATATTAAGATTACTCACTGGATTCTTTAATTCATACCAGGAAATTAAATAGAAACAATCTGAGCCTGGAGTTCTGGAATGCATCTTAAAATTATTTGGAGTGGACAGAGAAGAGAATAATTCTGTGAAACTGGCCAGTTGGAAACTTTGAGCATTCACCCAGGTTTCTAACGTGAACAAATTCAGGAATCGTTTAACTTTAAGCTTTAATATTTTTCCTTTATCAGGATTTGTGGGTCCCTCACTACAAAATGAACCAATTATGATTCTCTCCTGCTCTTGCTTTTCAGAGTTGCCAATGGATGGGAAAGGACAGAAAAGACCAGAAAGGACAGAAAAGACCAGAAAGGTACAATAAAAGCAGAAGTGAGGTGAAATGGAAGAGGGAGGGGGCTCAGCAATTAGCTCATGAACTTTTCTAGGGCTTTCTCTTGCTCTTTGATGTCTCAGAACCAATTGAAATAACGTCCAACAAAATGCAAAATGGGGGCACAGTACCTCTGTCCCAGGAGACAGCTGTTCCATCTGGCTCAGTTGCTGTCACAGGACTATACACTGGATTCCATGCGGCTTGTGGCATGAGGTGCCACTTTTTTCACTGAAGACACAGATTATGTAGACCTACACCAGTGGCTTTCCTAGTACTAAGTCAGCAACTACTTCAGAATCCCACCTGCAAGAGGTGGCCTTCAGCCCTTCCACCTTCCACAGCTCATTCAAACCTGACCTTTCTGGATCAAAGTCACCGACAGCTGGGGATTCATGCTCGTGGGTTTGCTGCTGCAAAGCCAAGCGCTTCTCCTTAGTGGCCACAAACTCCTGCTCCAGCACTTCAAGATGTCCCTGAAGTTGCTCCAGCACCTACGGCAGTGAAGTTACTGGAATCATTCACAGCATGTGTGTGGAGTTGTTTTCCCAAAACACAGTTGCAGGAAAGCCCGACAGTAGTGTCCACCTGAAGGTGCCACTTCCTCACAACTTCAGTTTTTTGTGTGTCTGACATTTAAAATATAGACAACTCAAGAGTCACCTCGACATCCACAGCCCTCATAGCACACAGCTGAAAACTACATAATCCTGTGTATTTACAAAGTGCTTTCCCAATCCTTATTTAATTCACTCATCAATGTTGAAAATGTTGCAACATAGACTTCATAGAGGAGGAAATTGGAGCACTAAAAAGTATGACTGAAGCTGCATAGATCTTAAACAGAACCAAAGCCAGAAAGCCTCTGAGTCCATGCAGCTGGAGAGGAAGATCAGGGGGAAACAGCAAGATTTAGCCTGAGCAGTGAGTGATGCCTTGCAGATGCTGCACGTGCAGCCCCGCGCAGGTGGCTGTCTAACCCGTGCTGCTGAGTCACGTCTTGAAGATGCAGAGAGGTTCAGTGTCACATCCCAGTCCCTAAACACTCCTTGAGCCCTGCCTACATCCACCCTGTCCTGGAAGGGTGAGGCACAAAACTTGTGTCATGCACTGTTCCTGCTCTGAAGGGTTTCATCCACTGAAAGAAGAGACTGTAGGTCAGACTACTGTGGCAAGGCCCAACGGAAAGAGTGAGACTTAGATCAGGTTTACAGGATGCCCAGAAGGTCCACACTTGGCAGAACCCATGAAAGGAGATTAAGGGATGAATTGGAAAGACCCCACCAAGGGCAGGAGTATAGCACAATGAGGAAATAAGGCCAGACACAACAGGGTTCAAGTTCAGATTCTGTCACTTACTATGAATGATTTTAGTCAATTTGAACTCCTTTATACTTCAGTTTTTCATCTGTAAAGTGAATATAATATCTTTAATCTCATATTGTGGAAATTAAATGAGATAATTATTCCAGGAGCATAGTGCTCCTCTGCTTGCAATGGAGTTATGCCCCTATAAAGCCACTGTAAATTGAATATATTGTAAGTAGAAATACACTGCATACATCACAAGTTAGTCTGTCCATGAATATGTTCAAAATACTTGGTTGGGTAAAATACAAAGTTCATTTCATAATAAGGTGCTGAACAGCTGGTGTTTGCTGATGGCACACTGTGGAGTACAGTGTTGGTTAGTCATCCTTGGGATTGCAAGGCTGACTGAGGGCTGCAACTCACTACCACTGCCTGGTTTTGCAAGAGAGTACTACAGAGCATATCACTAGCTCAGGAACAGGTAAAAAGTCTATGTACACAAACCGCTTTTGCATCACGGTGAAGTTGACTAATTGTTAAGCTGAGCTATCATAAGTCAAAAACCATCTGTACACACTCAATAGATGGTAGCTGCTGTTATTATAAATTCTTAATAAGTAAGTAAACAGGAGTTTGGAAGCATATTGGCTAGAGGATATAAAAAGGATGAGTCTGGTGGATATTTTCCATTTTCTTTACATATTCAGCCTCCATCTTTCTCAAGCCTCAGCCAGGAACCTGACCTTAAATCAGCAGCATCCACAGGCTCCTGTCTGCCCTGACTTCATTGCTGTCAGCTGATAAAAGGCAGCACAAGAGAGAGGAGCTGGGGTTATTTCCTTCATTGCTTCTTCTCCGTGTCATCATGGATTGATTGTGTCCTCCCACCATGAGGCACAGAGCTTGCTAGCTACTCCTACAGCTACCGTGATCGTTTCTCTATTTTTAGGGCCTGGGGCCTGCATTTTCCTCTGCTTCTTCAGGAAGTAGGCAAAGCAGAGAGAAAGAGATGCTTTCCCATCCATTATTTGTTTCTCTCAAATTTCCCCACGTTGTTACAAAAGGATGCCTGTATCAAACCCTTCAGTTACCCCAATTTAGCCAGCCATCTCCTCCCTGCCAAGATTATGCCTCGTGCTGTAAACCCCACAGGCAATGCTGGAAATTCTGGCTTGGGAGATAGAGAAAATGTGATAAATCCTGGCTAAAACAGGTCTTGGAGAAGGACGAGCTGGAGTAGCGATGCCGGTGTTGGACAAGGAGAGTGACAGGGAGAATATGCTGTGTGAGTTAGGGTACCAGACACTGGGAGCTACAGATGAAAAGTTGAGACTGATTACTTAGCAACTGGTACCATGAAAGTATCCGTTAAAGCCATGAGAGAGAATTAGGTGTTCACAGGAAAGAGGATAAGAAAAAAGGAGCCAATTATGGATTCTAATTTAGGATCTGGAATTTAAAGCATGTTATATTTCCCAAGATATAAGGCATAAGTGTCTTGCATTTAGTTTTCATAACAACTCTGAGATGGGAGACTCGCTAAAGCATACTGAAGATTGTGTAACCACTGAGTAGAATTTGAGTGTCTGCTTCACATTGTGCTGTTCTGCTCCAACTGAGAAGGTGGTTTTAGCCTTGTCTGGCCTTTTCCAACAGTGAACTAGTGGGCCTGGAACACCCAGAGCACAGACTGACACCGTAAGGAGCCACCTTTACTGTCCTCACTCCTATCAAGAATCTTCATTTACCCTCTAACCACAGGACGGAGCTTCCTGAATTGAGGCCTCTGAAGGCTAGCACTGGTTTACCATTCTCCTTTGCTTTGTCCTTTAAAATTCTATGTTCTAGGGGCTGGGGATCTAGCTCAGCGGCATAAACGCCTGCCTTGCAAGTGTGTGGTCTTGAGTTTGATCCCGGTACTGATAAAAAAAAATAAAATTCTATGTTCTTTCAGTTCCCTAAATCCTGGCTTTTGGCAGAACCTTATTACTTACTTAGTCCCAGCAATCTGCCTTCCAGATATGCCACCTTGTTGAGCCTGGGCTTGCGGAAGAACCTTGTGACCTCTGACTGCCAAATCCAATGCTCATCTTATTTTCCTTCCTTCCTTGAACATTTGATGGTGAGGCCCACTTGCCTCTCCCTAGAGCCCTCTTTTCTCTTGGTTTCAACAACAGTTTACTCCATCAAGCCTGTTTCTGACTTCCTGGGACCTTCCCTTGGGTATCCCCTGCAGGCCACTCTTCTTTCCCTGCTCTCTGGTTGCTGTGCCTGTGTTTCTCTACTGTCTCCCTCTGCCTATTTCTCCTGGGAAATCTCATCTACACCATGACCAAACCAAATCAGTGTTTCTTGCCTAAATACCTCTAATGCATTTCTGTAACTGCCTGCTGGACCCCCACACTTAAATGCCCCATAGAGACCCCCAAACTTAAAGTACTCCCAAACTATACTTCATATCTTGTCCCCTGTCTGCTTCTCTGAAGTGGATCCTCCACTTTTACTTGTAACCACCGTTACCCTAGCCAGAAATCTACAATCCATCCAGCTTCTTCCTTTCCTATTTTCATTCCTTTCAGTCTGTTACCACTTTAAACCCAGAGACTTTTCCACCCCGCTCCATTCTCACCGTCATCCTTGGTCCACGCTCTCCTAACCTGTGCTGGATTAAGGCTCTGTGATCAGTCTCCCTACAGTCTTGCTGTCATTACGCTGTCTCTCTGCTTTAAATTCTTCCATGTTCCCATCACCTGGACTCAGCATAAAATCTAAGCTCCTTAGTATGACTTAAAAGCCTTTTGCGATGTGGCTCTCATCTGCCTCTCTAGTTCCCCCTTTCCACTTCAACACAGATACTCCGAGCTCCATCTGGTAAATTATAAGGCCACATAGAACCTCACGGTAGCAGCAGTTCCCGGCCCCTGCACCATGCACCTGCTGCTTCCTTTCTCTAGAAAACTTTGGCACTTATTCTGCCAACCTTATCCCTTTTCCTCCAGCAATGCCCAAACCACAAGTCCCTTCCAGGAAACCTTTCAAATTTCCATCAAAAGCAAGGGCGTGCCTCTTCTAGGCTGCCATGAACAACATCTAAGACATTTCTCAAGCAACTTTTTAGTTATTTGCTTAACAATCTGTTGTTCCTAGACCATAATCCGTTTGAAAAAGAAATTTGTTCATTTCCAAATCTCTTGTTCCTGGGACAGGATCTGGGACATAGAAAGTGCCTCAGAAATGTTTGTGGTGGGGCTGGGGATATAACTCAGCAGCATAGCACCTGCCTGGCAAGTGCAAGGTCCTGAGTTTAATTCTCGGTGCCCTTCTCAAAAAAAGAAATATTTGCAGAATGAAACAATGAATGATTCAATTAATATGGTGTATAAATGAATAACCAACTGCATCCTTGCATCTGGGTTTGCCTGGGTTTTGTCCTTCCTCTGGGACATCTGCAGCACAGCCTGACCTGAACCTTGAGCGTGTCTGCATCAGGACTTATGGCCACTCGCCTTATTGTTGACCCAAAATGCATCTCCTGCCCATTTGTAGCTCTCCCAGTCTTGGCCTTTCCCCCTGCTTGCTCCATCTCCTCTTCTTATGACCACAGCATTGACCACAATGTCACTGACCACAGTGACAGTGTAACTTAGCAATTTGATTAAATGCAGCAGCAAACAGGGATGTGAAACTGAAAGACTTTAACCTGAAAAGCAGTGCTTCAAGTCTGACTTTAAATGTTTTCCAAGTTTACCTATTGAGGAACCAACAGCAATTTTGATAACCTACATCTACAGAAATCCATCAGCTATGGGTCACCCTTTATAACGGTTCTTCTCTAGAATGTGGCATGATCCCCGATTTATTATGAGGTGACTGATGAAGAAACATATCCCCAAAAAAGAAAGAGTGCCGAATGCATATGGAAACATAATTCTAAGCTGTTGTAGGCCCAGAAAATAATATATTTTAATCTTCAGCCAAACATTTCTCACTATCACATTTTCATGCCTGTGGTAAGAAAGCACAGTGCTATAAAGTTATTTACATCTACCCATCTCAAAATCCCCAACAAACATTTTTAAAACTAGATAAAATTCATTACCAGTTTTTTGTCTTGCACATGGCAGAGAGAGTTCTGTTGTATTGTTTTGGAAAATTCTTGTATCTGCAGTGAAAAGATGTAATATTTCATTAATGGCATCGTCTCTGGTGTTTAAATTAATCAATAGTTATTTTTTTGTGTTTGGAATAACATTAAAAATAATAAGCTTTGAATGTATTACCTTAGTCTTCAGTTGATCTGTCTGGTCTTTTAGTTTCTGATACATCTGTTTCCCTTGGCATATATTTTGAAATATGGAAGAAGAATTTGAGGAACGCTCTTTCTGAGAGGCAGATGTCAACTTCAACAGATTTGTCTCTGATTCTAATCCTATATGAGAAAAAGTAAGCTCTGCATACCATTCATTTCGACTTACCACAGTTTTATTAAGCAGTAAAGATTATGGTAGTCACTGCATTTTACTATCTTTTTAAAAGTTTTCAACTATCTATCTAAATCAAAGAAGTTTGAAAATGCCAGTACCTGTGAGAAGTTCTTGGTGGATGTGCTCTGTAGACTCTATCTGCACAATTAAAGGATAAGAAAACATTACTGCTGAGATTGTCCAAAGGCACCATTATTCAGAAATTGTCAGTGTGCTGTGGTCATCCCCGAGGCAGCCCAGTGCTGTGGTCATGAGCTGCAACTCAGATGCTGAGGTCAAATTCCACTCCGACACTTACCTGCTAGGTATCCCAGGCAATTACCTCATTACTGTCAGCCTCAAATTTCTTGGTGATAAAATGGGGATAGTAAAGAATCTAACTCATGGAATTGTTATGAGGATGCCATAATAGTAGGCATATGGTAAGTACTCGGCAATACGTATCAGTCATTAATATAATTTTTGATACCAGTGTGTGAGTTATTCCAATATTTCTCCTAAAAATAGATCAGAAGCTCCACGAGGGCAGGGATCATTGTTGATGTTGTTACCAACTCTGTTGCTGGTGCTTTCACTGACACCGTTTTTCCAGGAATGACATAATATGTATTAAATTCCAAAATGTGTGTCAAGATAATGATTGATTTCTGCTCAACACAGGCTAACTGGACAGAGGTTTCAATCCCAGAGTGATTCACTTGGAGGTTCTTCCCATTGTTCCCAACACACAAATCTCAGAAACATGAATGCCCAACACACAAATCTCAGAAACATAAGTGGCAGTGGTCAAAACAGACTGGTCTTTGTGAATATCTTTGGTATAGGATGAAACTGTAGGATCCGGTTCTCCAACCTGAATTGACAAGGACTAGAAAATAGCAGATACCTGACTCCAGAGCCCCACTGCCAGTGGGGCACGGGCTTATATCCATTCTGCTTCTACTAACCATGAGGTACTGAGAATAGAGCATAATGCACATGTTCTCTTGTAAGCAGAACAAGAAATCCTGAGACTTTCCAATATCACAGGGGCGCAGATAGTTCTAAGGCTTTGGGAAGCAGCCCATCATGGCCAGGTGGTCTACTGGCCCCACAAGTATGTGTGTATGCAGTTTATGCTGAAATCTTCCATAGTGATCAGTTGAGGAAAAATGGGTTGAATAATGAGAGATGGAAACAGAAAGTCAGACAGTGCTGTTCAGTCCAGGACACCTTTTATTTAAGGCCTAAAAGAAAGACAATACAATCCTAGCAAGCTCCAAAGAACAAGAATGTTACAATGATGATTAAGGTCAATTCACTTTACTACTGATCCTCAAATAATTAATGACAACCTCATTCTGGGTTGGGATGTTGAGTGGAGATGAGAATATTGGATAGGGGGAAAAGGGAAATAACATTAAAAAGCATTAACAAAATCTCACATTAAACTCAGTTAAGTAACTAAAGGAATAATGTACCTAAGGCACCAACACCAATCTTTTCAGGAATGTTAGGAAAGATGAAGATAAGGTTGCTGCCCTCCAGAGGCTTCGAATCCAGTAGGAGAAACAGGTACCTCCAGATTATTAACAAGCCAAAGCAGGCTGAAATAAATGCCTGACAGAAGCACTCAACAAGCAAGGGTGGCTGTGAAAAGTCACATGGTCTGAGGGGACCTAAAAGAGCCCGTGAGAATGCACAGGTCTCTGATGAGTTGAGATGGAATTTTCACACAAGGTAGGAAGAGGTAAGAAGCTTCAGAGCCCGGAAAGAGGTTCCGGAGCAGCCAGATAACCATGGACAACTCCCAGAAGTGGAACTGAGCTTAAAATGGTAGATAAAATTTAAAAGAGTAAGTGGGGAGCCCCAAATTCCAACTTGAGGAATTTTGATCTTATCCTCATAGGTATTTTTGTGAGTATGGCTCCTAATTTTTCTCTTAAAGACCACCACTGGTTCAGCCACCACCCCAAGTGGTCTAGGGCAGTGGTGGCGAACCTATGGCATGCATGCCACACCTGGCACGGAAAGCTCTAAAAAGTTTCCCATCACTGATCTAAAGGGTTTGATGGAACCTCAGAGCTTGAACTGCATTCTATGCACCTTCCAAAAAGTCACCTTGACAGAGATAAGCAGTGGCCCACAATATACTTATAGAGACTATTTTCATTTACCTGTATGTGTTGTGAAGGTTCTGTAAATTTCTCTTTCTTCTCTGGTTGCTGCTTTCCAACACAGTTTGACCTAGACAAGTTTTCCAAAATGTCTTGCACAATTATTGATTTATTTCTCAATTTAGGAGAAAAGTTGGCTTGTTCAGCTATTGTAAGTGACTTATTGATTAGGTTATTTTTAGGTATTTGCACTTTGGGAGCAACCTTAGAGAAATCTGGGAGCTGGTAATGAACTTGACCTCTGCCATATTTGAACAAATGACTTGAGCTTGCTTTTTCAGTTACTTGTTTCTGGGGTTCCTGTCCTTCGCAACTTTTGTGTTTATCACTCACATCTGTGATTTTTGTTAGAAAATCTGAATTTTCTTGAGGGCTGCTATTTCCAATATCTACTAACTCTTCTAACTCAGAAGAATTTGGAGAACAACTGGGCTTCCTGCTGTTTTCACCATCCCTTTTAGGGCTGAGTTGGTCAGGGAATTCTCGGGTTTGTTCTTTTGAACAGAAGTTCTTAACATAGCATGAAGAAGTATTTGTAATAATAGCCACTTCATCAGTACTATCAGCATTACAGGTCTCTGGGAGAGTTTCACAATCAATGCCTTGACTTCCTAAAAATTGCTCCTTAAAAAGATGATGGAGCAAAATGTCAGAAATATTTGACTTTGAAGTATCTCCTTCATCAGCTGAAATATGAAATGTCATGGGATAATTTTTCTCTTTATCCCAGTTTTTGTCAACAACAAAACCATTTTCAGTAATTTTGCCCTGAGTCATGGCCACAGCTGTATCTGGGCAAGTCTCATTATGTGCTTCCCTTTCTCGAGGATCATCTTCTGTTAGCATAACTTGATCTGAGACACCAAGGATGTTATTTTTTGAGGTAAAATTGCCATCACCACACATCATCATTTGGGAGACAGTACCATCATAAGGCAGATCCTCCTGTTGCTTATAAGTTGTGTCTTCTGAAAAATCATCCATGCTTGTCTAGCCTGGTACCTCTTGTCCTCTGTCGCCTTAATTGTCCTTAGCGCCCTTAATTGTCACAATGGATCTTCTGGTTTTCACGGATAGTCTTCATTTTATGTCCTAATCTATAGGAAATGAGAACAGCCTCCATGTTAAATACATTAGAATAATGTCTGACGCTATGCTTATTCTCATGTTTATGCCAGAATAAAAAGGATATTTTGTTTATAAAACTCATCTGTAAACATAGAGACAGAAAGTTCAATCAACAGTTCACTCATTATAAATACAGTAGAATAATTTTTAAAAACTGGGACATATAGTTCTTGTTCATTAAATGTAGAGGAAACATTGATCTACAGTTAGTGATCAAATCTTTTCCATTTTCTCCTAGGAATACTATTTGGTATTTGTTCTCCCAAAATAAGAGTTTTGAATAGTGGTATAGGATTGTTGGAAGTTCTGTGGCCATCAGTCTTCCACATATCACTAACAAGTGTCTATGTCCTCTGCCACTGAAAGCTGGATTGATTCAAGCATAACCTCTATTTTCTCTGTTCTGATACTTTGGAAGAGAGTCTTATTTGATAGCTTCTTGGCCTTTCAGCTAATATCAACTGTAAAAAGAGTTTTCTTTTTAACTGACACATAGTAATTGTATGTATTGGGGCGTGATGTTTTCAAATATGTATATAAAGTAATCAAGTAGATGAATTAGAATATTCATAACCTCAGACATTTAATTTTTTGTGGATAAACATTCAAAATACTCTCTTCCAGTTCTTTCAAACACCATTGTTAACCACAGTCAGCCTACCCTAGAACATCAGAGCATAAGTCCTCCTACCCTAACTTGAAACGCATAACCAAACTTTCTCTACCCACCTTCAATCTTAGCCTCTGCCAACTTCTATTCTGTCTCTACTGCTATGGAATCAACTTTTTAAGATTTCAGGAGTGAGATCACCTGGCACTTGAGTTTCCCTGCCTGGTTTACTTCATTTCACATGATGTCCTCCAACCATTGCCCCACATTTGCTACTTTTTTCATTTGTCCTCCTGGATTCTCTGGTCCCCTTCTCCTGATTCTCCCTAGTGTATCTAAGAAAGGCAGAGAAGGACTGGCAGATGTATGACCAGGGAGGACAAATGGACTTTTTACATCTGGAGGCCATTCTGGAGCTACACAGCCCTCTTTTAATTAGAGCTTGGGCAGGAGCCTCTTTGGAGAGCTGCCTTCTCCTGAGCTGCCCTGTCCAGCTACCACAGTCCAGACAGTGTGGTGGCAGCAGTTCTGAGAAAGCTCCTAAAAATGATCAGCGGGAAGCCAGTAGTTATTCAGTATGAGTCAGTTTTATTTTTTAAAGAAAATTTAAATCACCCTTTTGGATATCTCTTTGATCTGTTAGCTTTTGAGACAACTACTTAGGGCTAGTAAAATTATCCCAAGTTTTAGGAGGAGTGACTGAGCCTGTCTTTTGCCCTGAGCTCCAGCCATGTTCTAAAGTTTACTGGCTTGGGTGGACGCTGCCACAGCTGCCCTCCCTGGCCCCGCCAATGATGGGACTGGCAGAGTGGATCTGTGCGTCCTTCCTCATCCAAATTTATATGCCCTAGGAACTTGTGAGTTATTAGTTAACCTCAAAAGCTAAAATAATATGTTTGATGAAAAAACTGAGCAAAGAAAAAAGGGAGTAAAAACTAAATGTGGTAAAGGCATCCATGAAACATGATACAAAAATCACAGTTTGATAGATAACATGCTAGTGTTAGAGAACTCAAATTTTTAAAAATTATTTGAAGGGATGGTAAGGAAGAATGTAACCACAGGATACTTTACATCAGTTCTAAAGGCTGGTGTTTACTATGAAATGAAGGAGTCTGCTCTTCATGAACGGAATTGTAGATTGCTCCAAACCAAGTTGAAGAGCTTGGGAAAATGCTTCCTGGGAAAGTCAAAGAGACAGTAGAAAAGCTGAATCAACAGATCTGGGTTTGAATTCTGCATTCTCTATTCATTATCTGTATGTCATCTGGCAAGTTTTTAGCTGTTCTGAGTACCAGTTTATTCTTCTAAAAAGATAAGAACAATTAAACCTGACCTACAGGACTGCTGGGTGATGAAACAAGGTAATGCAGGTAAAGTACTTGGCATGGTGCTTGACATAGAGGAAGGGTTTAGTCACTGGTATCTTAAAATAAACTTTAAGAGCCAAAACTAATCTTGGTGTTGGAATACTAAAGAATGCCTGGGAGCAGAAGACTAGCCACTTGTACTCCTAAGGTGATACTTAAAGGATAAAGGAAGGAATTTGTATTTATAAGGTCATCTCTAAAACAGCCTTAAAACTCTAAAATGTGTGTATTATTAAAGGTGGAAAATCACTCAATAATTTAAAATAAAGCAGAGTCTAATTTTTGAGGTTAAAAAATGTATATTTAAATGTCTATGGGGAAACAGAAAAGAAGACAAACTCTAATTTTACAAGACTTTTAAGGACCCAAGCTACAAAAAAAGTCATATTAGTGCACTCTTTGTATTCAGGGGACTCATCGCTGAGCTCCAAGCCGTTCTCTTGTTAACAAAAAAAAATATCATGGTGGCCAGATCTCAGTTTCAAAATAGTGTTCATTGAAACTGATATTTTTATTTTTGCTGCAGATCTTTAGAAAGAAACTCCACCAAAGATAAGCCAGAAGCCCAAGGAACTCTCTCACTACATACAGAAATAAAGTCTCTGCCATTATTATTACTATTATTATCATTATAATAGTAATAATACTTACAATAAAAATTGTACATTAAAAATATCAGGAGTTTTTTTTTCTAGAAAAAGACAATTCACATCTTTAGCATTGTAATGGGCATCTTACAGGTAGCTGGAGGGAACTGGTATGTCTTACATCAACACCCAGCTCAACCTTGGAATCCAAAGGCACCTTCCAAGAGAGTCCAACCAGAACCCAATAGAATATTTCTGTAGAGCCCAACTGGATCTCCTGAAGTCCAGGAATACATCTGAAGCCATAGCTTCTTATGCAGCTGTATTGACCATTGTGAGCTCAGCAACAGCTCATAGTCACTCCACTGAGCAAATGAGGCCTAGGCATCCCAGGAATCCTATGTGTAAAACCACTTCAGTCCAGGCCCTGAGCAGAGATGAACACCAAAGTGCTTGTCATGCTGACTGCGCTTCCCTGCGTGGTTTACTTCATTGTGAAGTCTAAATTTGGTGATGAAATACCCATCTAAGCTCACTAACTTGCCTCTTTAAGACAAGAAGATATTCATGACTGGAATGACTTTGAATCAATTAAGAATGTCTACAGATGGAAAAAACAGAACAACTCCATAGAGATTAGAGGCAAAAAATGGTCAACAAATCATAGTTTCTGCCTGGTAGGTGATATTTCTTCTATTTACACATTGGAGGACTGTTTTCATCACCAAAGAAAAGCGGGACACATAAACGTGTGAGCATCCTTTGTCTGCATCCCCTCTGTTCTGTGTTTAGAACTCTGCTAGCCAGGCAAACCATCAAAGGTGTCTGTGACCCAGCTGCGGCATTGTTTCCGCTCACCCCTTCCTTGCCTTCCTCCGCCAAAGTCCTGGTTAGAACCACGGCCTGACCCCTGTGGCCCCAAACCTAAGCTTCTGAATTTAACCCTCCTGAATACAGTTAAAAAAAAGAGTTGGGGCTGGGGGTTTAGCTCAGCGGCATAAGCACCTGCCTTGCAAGCAGGCGGTCGTGAGTTCGATCCCCGGTACCGATAAAAATGAAAAAGACAAAAAAAAAAAAAAAAAAAGAGTTGACTGTTGGAGGTAATAATTCGACAGTCCAAATTCTTCATGCTCCTCTCTGTGTTTGTCATTTAGAAAGTGACTGTCTTATAGTCAGGAGCTTTAAGGACATGATCCTCTCTTATTGTGTTCTGCACAAAGTAATATGCTAAGTCTTCAACTAACACAAAATGACAGCCAACATGAAGAGATAAAACAATGTCAATGGCAATAGACACTCACCTGCACCTTGGTGTCTCGACACAGTGCAGTGAACAAGGTGAGGGGCCTTCACCAGTGCACATGAGCAATCCTTTAGCCTAAATTGTCTTTTTTCTTTTTTCAGTAGCTGGAGGCTGACTTCAAATAATAGAACAGACATGGAGCTTCAAAATCATGGTGTGCTGCTGCTGGGTCCCTTTAAGCAAAAAATCATGTTGAAGAAAAACAAGGAACTTCCAATGTGATCTAAACTTCTGTCTTTTTTTTTTTTTTTTTTGTCTTTTTAAGAGCATTCAAAAATACTTAGCTTGACTCTGTTTTAATTTTTACATTCTTGCTATCTAACCCTAGCTCTGTCTGTCTATCCATCCTCAAAAGAAAATAGGATCTGGCTCAGAATATTAAGTCGTAAGCCACACCCAGGAGTCAGATATTCATGGGTTTTGTATCCATTGCATGGTGCTTCTAGATTCAAATATTTTCAAAGGTAATGTGATGAAAGCCCCTCTGCACAGGCTGCACTTGATATCACTGTGGTAATCCTATCGGTTCACTTTACCTCAGAAATGTGGGCTGCCCACAAATGCAGTGTCTCTAACTGTAACCAGATATCGTTCAGTGTGGCAGTCTGGCTTCATCTTGTCTTTATAGAGTGACAGAAGGGACACTGTGGTGGAGCAACAACTTGATCCAATGCTCCCTTGACAGCTAAGTGGGTGGATGTATTATTTATAGTCAGCTAAGAGAGATGGTCCTTCCTTTAGTGGGCGTGAGTATGATGACCAGCTGTCACAGATTATTTCGCCTGAAACTATTTTAAAAGTCAAGGAGAAAAAAAAAGTTTTGCAACTGTGCAAACCAGTATTAGGAGAAGTAACTTCTCAGTGTTTGGTTGGCAGCCTTTGCTTGTTTTCCTTGCTCTTTGGTCAGCATTATCTTTTTATCTAATTTTCTCATTGATAGAGTCCTGTAATCGGCATGAGTAGTCTAAATTGTACTATAAGCTATGGCCTTGACTGTGCTTTAGGCATATTTAGAAAACTCTTACCAGTTGATATTTTTCTTGTAATTTTTTTCCCTTTCTTTTGAAGACAGGGTTTCCCTATACAGTTCAGGCTGGCCTTGAACTCACTTTGTAGCCCGGGTTGGCCTCAAACTCACAGCAATTCTCTTGCCTGAGCCTCCCAAGTGCTGGGATTATGGGTGTACACTACCACACCTGGCCTCATGATAAATTTCAAAACATGCTGATTTTATATTTTTAATTTTTAAAATTTTTATTTTAAAGAGAATAAAACCAAGCAAATAAAACAGAACAAAGCTAATCAAAACAAACCAGTGTAACACAGGACTTCAAAACAATAGGAAATCAATAATGGCTATCATAGTGCCTCTTGCTGTCTTCAAAATAGCTGCAAGTACCTTCAGACATAGTAGAAATCAAACAAAACAGAATAGAACCAATAAAAACAACAATGAACGCAATAAAGGACTTCAAAACAAGGTACTAGTAAATACAAAATGGCTACCAGAACTCATGACCTTGTGCTTGCCAGGCAGGCACTTATGCCCTAAGCTAAATCCCCAGCCCAAACATAATATATCTTGTTATCTTTGAATAGCCTACCCATGCCATCAGATATAATAAAATCAAACAAAACAGAACAGAACAAAACCCAACCCAACAAAACAATGAAAGTTGATGTAAGACTTCAGAACAAGACAATAGGGAATTAACAATGGCTGCCACCCTCAGAAGGAGATTCTTCATAGATGCTACACTGTGTATTGGCATCCTCTGAATAGATGATCAGACCACTGGCGTTAGACCTGCCAAGTCAGTGAAACACTAAACATTACAAGCATTAACTTGTACTCCATCTCAATAGCCATCATCACAGCCTGTGTTTTTTCAGATCAGCCTGTCACTTACGGCAGGGGGCCTGGGGGTTGGCTCTTCCTGTTTGCCAGCCCACGCACTGGAAGGGGCTGGCATCTGGCTCTCCCTGGCAGCAGCCTGTGCATGGTACTGATTCGCAGGGAGGGCTTGCTTCTTGTTGACTTCTTGTTCTCTTCTCCTGCAGTTCACAAATGTCACTGACTCCAACACACTGAATTTTTAAAAGTATATATATTTTTAAAAATCTCACTACTGAAACGTCTTTGACTTTCCTAAACTTTCCAGGTTAAGTTTGGCAACTTCTGCCTAAAGATTCTAAGAAAAGCCAGAATATTTTAGGAAAACCCTTCTCTCTCCTACCCTGCCTAAAGGATGAACATTGCTTTAAAATTATAATTTTAAAAAATGAATAAAATATCAAAAAAAGATATGGTACATTGATACCTAATATGGGATCTTTAAAATGATTTCTAAAAGTTATGATTTGATTTTTTAAAAGCCTATCCTTGTGTTAGGGGAAAAAAAACAGATGAATTCCTAAAACAATTTCGTGACAGAATTACAGATAAATTTTATTTTCTTATACAGCTGTTTCTTCATTTATTAAATAGTTTTCAAGTATATTTATTAGGTGGCAAGCACCATGTTAGGTAGATCCTGTAACCAAAGGACAACATCAAAAATAGTTAAGAATGTGGACTTTTGTGCCAGGCTGATTTATATCTAGGCCCTGTTACTCTCTCAGAAAGCTGCGCAATCTTGGGCAAGTGGTTCATCTTCTCTGATTCTTAGTTTGCTCATCTATGAAACAGAAGTACTAATAGTATTACCACATAGGAGAATGTAGCTGTGAGAATTATGAGTTGATTTTTTACATCATTTATACAGCACTTGTGTGCCTGATGTTCCATTCTAATCTTACATTCATCACTTTAGAATGCAAAGAATTATATTAATATTATTTTAAGTGGTGATAAGTGCTGTGAAGGCTAGAAAGAGACTACATGGAGAAAAAAAATATATAAGAAAAGAAGCTGAAAGTGATGGCACACACCTATAATCCCAGTCACTCAGGAAGCTGAAGCAGGAGAATTGCAAGTTTATGGGTAGCTCAATCAATTTAAAAATACCTCGTCAATGAATTAATAAATATATAAATAAATGGGCTGGGAATGCAATTCAGTACAAAGCCCTTCATACACACACACACGCAGAGAGAGAGAGAGAGAGAGAGAGAGAGAGAGAGAACTTTCTTGTGATAGGTTAGACAGGAAAGGGTTCTCTGAGGATGAATATTTCAAGCTAGAGCCTATAGGACTGTCTTATACTTTTTACTTGTTGCTGAGATAAAATACCTGATGATCAAAGTTGGGAAAGGAAAGGTTTATTTCTTACAGTTTTTTGGAGGTTTCAGTCCATACTCAGTTGGCTCCAAGCAGGCTGGCATGGCTGGGCCGCAGTTCATGGTGGCTGAAAAGGCAGAAACCAGCAAAAAAGAGAGACACACCTTCTTCCTGCCATTGCATTACATGCTGGCTCCACCCCTAGTTGGGTGTTGCACTGACACCATCAATCCAAACTAGACAATGAACTAATCATAAATGCATAATGCAAATGCATGAGGCCTGGGGGCCACAGACATAAATCATAGCATTCCAACCCTGGCCCCAGGACTCATGTACATCTTTTATACAAAAGACATTTAGTCCATCTCCAAGAGTTGCCAAAGTCCTAACAGTTTCAGCATTTCTGAAAAGTCCAAGTCCCAGGTCTCCTCCAAGATCTATGGCAAACTCTTTACTGTAACCCCCTGTACAAATGAAACAAGGTTAAGCATTTCTGAAGTGCAAAGGCACAAAATAAACATTACCATTCCAAAAGTTACAAACAGGGGAATATAAGGCATTGGAAACAAAGCAAGCCCAACATCCAGCAGGGCAAACATTAAGTCCTAGAGTTCCATGCTCAGCATCTGAAGCAATCTGGTTGCAAGTTCCAAAAGGCTTGGGTGATCCTACCCCGAAGGCACTTCCAGGGATTTCAGCTCCTGCAGCTTCTCTCTTAAACGCTCTCTGCTACCTTTTTGAAGCTTTCCTTGGATCACCCACATTCCTGGCTTTTCCAAACTTCTGGGGTCTCCACTACACCTTTGGCTTTACCCTTACATCTTTACAAATTGCCCTCAGGGGCACACTGCTTGGCCTCCCAGGCCCTTTGCAATCAAGGAGGAAGCTGTCTTACTCACAGAATTTGTGCATTTTTCTTGCACCTAAAATCAGCACCACGTGGATGCTGCTGAGGTTTGCTCCATCTGGAGCAGTAGCCAGGCTTTTTTCTCTCTTGGCTGTAGGGATCGCTTGCCTGGATCACTGGGCTCTGTGAACCTGATTGTAAAGAAAAGCTTCTCTATGTTGCTGCCATTCTGGAACCTCATGTGGCCTCCATCGCCATTCCGGAGCATGGTGCTCTGCAGCTTTCTCCTCTGAGCAAATTCTTTCACTTTTGCAGTTTTGAGGCTGCAAAGGGTAGATACCCGCTGCTTCCTGGGATGCCCCTGAGCCATCTTTCTTATCTCTCGTTTCTCCTCAACAATTAAAGTCTCAATCCTGTCTTTACAATCCACAGCTTTACTGGAGTTTTCCTTCTGGCCAAATTCACAGAGTTGTAAATTATCCTGCGGGCTCTTTGCTCTTGATTTGCAACATAAAGCTAAAAGCCCCAAACAATAGCCATGCCATAGCCTCAACATTCGACTGCCTTGAAATTTCATTTTCCAGATTAATCAGTCCATTACCCTTTGTCTCAGTCTCAGGCAAAGTCTCTGGGCATGAGCCAAAATGCAGACAAACTTTCTGCCAAGCCATAACATACATCATGGGAGACCAACAACCAATGCAGTCTTTTTTCCTAGCAGAAACCTCCCAAGCCTGGTCTTACCATGAGGTTTTCTATCAGCCTTCTAATCTCCTGAGCTCTGACCAGAATCTCCTCTCCAGAACAGCCTAAACTGCTCCAGCTCTATGCATCCAGGTGACATTCCAAAGCCTCTCAAAAAACATGGTCAGGTATAGTCACAGCAAACAACCCCACTCTTGGTACCAAATTCTGGCTTAGTTACTTTTTACTTGTTGCTGAGACAAAATACCTGAAGCCCAAAGTTTGGAAAGGAAAGGTTTATTTCTTACAGTTTTTTGGAGGTTTCAGTTCATACTCAATTGGCTCCAAGGCAGGCTGGCATGGCTGGGCTGCAGTTCACGGTGGCTGCAAAGGCAGAAACTAGCAAAAGAGCAAGACACACTTTCTTCCTGCCATTACATTACATGCTGGCTCCACCCCTAGATGGATGTAGCACTGACACAATTAATCCATACTAGACAATGAATCAATCATAAAT